AACTGAAGCACAGAGAGAAGTCCAGTCACAGAGCTGGTAAGTGCAGAGGTAGGATCATAGTCTGCCCCAAGGGCTCCCCACACCAGTCTCTGCTGGTATGATTAGGTTCTTGAACTCCAATGTTTAATCGGTACTGATCTTCAATCTCTTTGCTTTGTCCTCTCCATGGGTACCATTCTTCACTCGGCTTGGTCTTGCTAACTCTCTCTGCAGCCAGACTCAAACATCCATCTCTTGTTCTGAATATACAAGAGCAAACTGGACATATCTATCAGGAGGACTCAAAGCCTCCTCTCTTATCTCCTTTCCCTGACTCCTTTCCCTCCATCCTTCTATCCAATAGGTTTCCAGTAGTCTGAATAGCATCTCCTTTAGGAAGCCTACCCTAAACTCTCAGAGAGTTTAGAGTCCCTCTGTGCCAAAATAACTTACTACTACCTTGACTACCCTGGATAGTGACCATTATCCTTCACAGGAGAACAAGTTCCTTGAAGCAGGATTAGTTTGCTCATGTCTCCCTGTGCAGGTCTGGCATGAGTGGCAAGCATCTCACTTTGTGTTATGCACGAAGCACAACAGCTGACTCCCTGTTAGTGCTGCCCTTTTCAGAAGACCACCCTGTACCAGGGCAGGCCAGAGTACTGGCGGTCGTGGTATGAAAAGTGAGGCAAGGTCATTGACTGCAGGCCTGATGGTGTCCCATGACAATCACATGTCAGCTTGCTCTTTACCCAAAAGGCTGGTATGGGGAAATACATCCAGGGAGTCAGGACCCAGAAGGCTGATGGATAATTTGGTTCATCCTAGAAGATTCTATTTCCCTGAGACACTTTAGTACTGCTGAATGAAGGTAGTGGAAGACTTCTCATATTTTTTTTTCTGGAATGTCTTGGGCCCATCCAGAGGTTCTCTGGCTTAGTCTCTTGGTTGGAGAAGCCATTGGCCAGAGGCCAAAATTCCTGGGGGAAAAGAAAGGAGTGAAGTTTGCCTGCCAGGATTACTGAGAAGGACCAGGAGCTTTGGAGATGTGCTGTGAGCCTCGAGAGCCCCCGTGCAGGGAAACACCTGCCATGCATAAGCGAAAGAGAGTCCAGAAAGTCTGTATGTCACTTGGTATAAAATGCAGACTTCCACCTTCTGCTATGCAGATGGTGAGCAGCAAGCTGGGGCCTTAAGGCCTCAACCAACACCAACAATCAGTCAGGAAGGGGAGAGAGGGGGGAACAAACAATCTGCATGTGTTGGCAGATGTTCCCCTCAGATAGATCTGTGGGGAGAAACAAAAGACATTGATATCTCCCAGAGCTCAATTACCTCCCAGTCCCACTAGACATGGGGATATGTAATAGACAGCCAAGACCAGTCAATTTGTTCACTAAAAGTCCTTAGGGTGACCTGGGCATAGAATTCAGTGGGAGGTCAAATGTGATCAAGTGGATCTCCGCCTCTTTGCTTCTCTTCCTCTGGGCAGAGAGATAGCAGAGTGTACCAGATGGCAAAGAACACAGGACTTTGAGCCAAAAGCAGGAACGTTCATTTCTTGGCTCTGCCTCTCATTATTTTTGTGACCTGGAGTAAATTTTCTAATTACCCTGACACTCAATTTCTTCACCTATAAACCAGGCATAATTAAATGCCCTCGATTTTAATGGGTGTGGTATCTCATAAAAGGGATAATATATGAAAAGGGTTCCAGTGCCCAGAGCCAAGGACATCTCAATAAATGCCTACCAGTATTGACAATTAAAAAGATGCAGTTCCCTCTTCACACTGTAGACCTTGTGGAAACACTGAGACTTTTTTTAATGGCCACTGCAGCTTCACCCCTCTACTTAAAGAGAGACTTCCCAAGGATAAGAGCCTTCAGAAGAAGGAGTCTTCATTGCTCTTGAAGAGGCCAGGAAAGAGGAAGCAAAGGGAGGCAGGAGGGCAGGAAAAACCTTCATAAAAAAGTACCAATAGGGCTGGGTAGATGGCTCAGTGGGTAAAGTGCCTGTCACTCAAGCAGGAGGACCTGAGTTCGGATCCCCGGA